CTTAACCCCATTCTTCAAGCAAATAGAAGAAGCAATCCAAAAATTTATATGGAACAATAAAAGACCCTGAATAGCAAAAAGAGTCCTTAGCAGAAAGAACAGTGCTGGAGGAATATCAATATCAAATTTCAAACTCTACTACAAAGCCAAAGTAATCAAAACAGCACGGTACTGGCACAAGAACAGACCTGAGGACCAATGGAATAGAACTGAAGACCCAGAAATGATCCCACAGACCCATAGCCACATAATCTTCGATAAGGGAGCTAAACAAATAGAATGGAAGCAAGACAGCCTCTTCAGTAAATGGTGCTGGCAAAACTGGTTAAACACCTGTAATTGGGGATGGAAGGGATGGTAGGGGAAACACAAAGGAAGAGGTAGCAATGCTTGATAGGAAATGTACTCATTACCTTACTCGTATAGCTATAAACCCTCTGTACTCTATTTTTACTATATATATATATATATATATATATATATATATATATAAAGACTTCATTAATAACCATGCACAAAAGCTTAAATTTCTATTTCTATCAACCTTTTCCTGTATTCTATCATGCATAGAAATCTACTCTAATACTATACATTAATAAATTGGGTCTCTCAATTTTTTTCATCTAAAATATAACTCTTATATCCACTAAAAATTTACTTTGTAATGGTTATTAAGAATATACCCAGCCAGGCGCTTAGCATGCCTATAATTCTAGCTACTCAGGAGGCTGGAATCTGAGGATTGCAGTTCAAAGCCAGCCCAGGCAAATTCATGTGACTCTTATCTCCAGTTAACCACCAGAAAACTGGAAGTGGTACTGTAGCTCAAGAAGTAGAACGCTAGCTTCGAGCTGAAGATCTCAGGGACAGCACACAGGCCCAGAGTTCAAGACCCACGACCCCAAAAAAAGGATATATCCAAATTTATTGATTAATTTTCTAGTGATTTTTCATTCAAGACGGCACATTTTAGCAAATGTTCCATATTTGATACATTTTTAGCTAATTTTGCACACACAGGCTTTGGTGCTCTTAGAGTTTTGTTCTAGTCCATTAAAGTCTATTTATAGACTTCCCTAATGACAATTTTTTTCCCTGTAGCTAAGTTGCTCTTTCTATCCCGATGCTGATTGACCTGCAACCGGACCTTCTCTGCAGTGTCAGTTTTGGCCTCTAGAGAGCGTTGCTGCGTAACTTGAACTAAGCTAGAAGCCAAGCAGCCAGCAAACCTTTAGAGGAAGAGCATCTTGCTGTACGGATGGAAGGAAGAGTTAAACTCAGAGATGACTCTGCTCTGTCAGATTCTCTGTAGCTGAACAGGTTCCAGAAAATTCTCTGTCACCTCGCATCTGGGACATGAAGCCTACCCACATCACAGCACTCCTGATCATGCTGGCATTGAGTGAGTAGTCGCTTCTCATTCAAGCCTTTCTGTGGGTCTTGACATGGAATCATTTTGTCTTCTGCAGTTTCTCTGATCTAGAACTGATGTTTCAGGAGGAATTACAGCCCAGGGAGTGGCTCAGCCTGAGGACCACATCTCTGTCTTTGAAGGAGCCCATGTGCAGGTGAAGTGCAACTATTCCTATTCTGGGAGTCCTGTGCTCTTCTGGTACATCCAACATCCAGGACAAGGCCTCCAGCTGCTCCTGAAACACATCTCTGGAGGCAGTGCCAAAGGTTTCACGGCCACTCTAAATAAGAGTGAGAAGTCCTTCCACCTGCAGAAGGCCAGGACTCAGGAGGATGACTCAGCCATGTACTACTGTGCCCTGAGCGCACAGTAGCTGCTCTGGCAAAGGAAGCAGAGCACAAACCCTCAGACTTACATGAAGTACTTCCTGTCAGCTGTCTGTGGCCACTGTGGGGCTTGCATTTCCAGGGAGCCAAACTGAATTATCTCTTAAAATGAATGTCATCAGTGGTCCGTTAGCTTCAGATTGAGCTCAACTATTTGTCCACAAAGATTCTCATTAGCATCTCTAGTTAATTTTTTAAATAATTATAGTTTTAGAAGTACCCAGAAAAGCACTTTTGCAATAATAACTATATAGCAGAGCAGAATAATCATTATTTTCTAGGTGACCAGGCAGAGTTAAGAAGGGCCAACCACCTTTCTACCTGCTTTGCTTTGTCTCTCCAGCTACCCACCTGTGTTCCTTACATCCCAGCAGTTTCTCCCAAGCTCGGTAGACTCCACTGTGACCTCTGCAACAAAGTCCTTTGCTCTCAGGCACTTCACAGATTCCTACTGCAGTCAAGGGTCATCCTGAGGAAGAAATGAAATTATTTGAAGAAGGCAACTTTACAATGAAAATTGATCATTACAACAGGGAATCAGCTACTGTCTTTACTACTTTTGTGTCACTATGATCAAAATACCTAAGTAAACAATTTAAAGCAGGGATAATTTATTTTTGCACACAGTGTAATAGGTTTCAGTCCATCATGCGAGGGAGAGTTTCCCAGAGCAGAGTTGCTCACATCATAGTAGCTAGGAAAGAAGGTGAGAGGGGAGAAGGGGGAGGGAAAGAGAGAAAAGCAAAGAAAAAGCCTGAGCTACAGGATTGTGCCTTGTGCCACTTATTTTGAGACACCTTGTATTTCCCCATTCGTTACATCTCAAGTTGTGCTTTACTAATCTCTTGGCAAAGCAAAGCTGCTTATAAGTCCAAGTAACCACTTGTGTGGCTGTCAATGCACATGTCTGGCATGTCTCCAGGTGTGCCAAGCTCACCAAGAATTGCAGGGACCCAGCACCATACAGGAAAACCTCATCCTCCTGAAAGTGTCCTTCCAGGCTTGCCTACTCATAAAACTTCATAGCATGCCAGGGAGCCAAGGAGAAATGTGTACAGGGTGGATTTGCAGCTGAGAGTCAATAAACTGATAACTGGTATGCCACATCCCTTGGGAACACATCTTATTATGCACATCTGTACACAAATAGTCATGACGTTTTCTTTCCTTCTTTTTTTCAGATATCAGCAACAGAAAATTTATTGTCCAAAGCAGTTTGAGGAACTTCAGGCACTAGCTATGGCTTTCCCCAGTAAAAACCAGAGTTCTCTTCAAACTCACTCTACCATAGCAGAAGTGAATTCTGTCACAGCTACTTTAACCTCTTGATTAATAATCTCAAAATCGCCAAGGGTGTGATTGGCCTTCAAGTGTTATACAAGGAAAAAATAACAACCCAAGATTAAAATAGGACAAGTTCAGAGGTACCCTTCCAACAGACAGGAATGATCAGAAGGACCATTTTTCTTCCACCTACAATAACCAGAATTGAATATAATTGTCTAATAACCATTGAGGGAGCCTAGGAGGGGTTAATTGTGCTGTAGGATAGGGATATAAAGTCCTCAGGTAGTTGACCAAGCCCCCTTGGGCTAGTCAGGAAAGATTGAAGGTCTCCAGGTTGTCTGGCAACAGAGGCCATACTTCATGTAGAGTGGGGAAAGGTAGAAAGATGGTTATGCACTTTGCAAGGCATTCCACCACCTTTGAAAAATGTGATGACTGAGTGGCTGGAGTTGAAGAGCTGATCTACAAGCAGGGATGAGAAGTACCTTCATTTTTTCCATATGTGGGGAATTTAAGCTGGTGTGACCCCTCATATGTGATTTTGGTTATATTCATTTGTTTTAAAATTATCCTGGCCCTAGAAAATTAATCCTTTTTTATTCTTCTTTTATCATCAAAGCAAATAGTAGTTGGCTCTAGAAACACTGCTTTGAACATTAGCTTCCAGCAGCTGGTCATTCCAAATCTTGAAAATGAGCTTCAGGGCCAGACTCTTCAAAACTCAGCCATTCCCTAGCCATCCTATTAGGACCAGAAACACAAGGGCAAAATTTCTATCCTCACCCAAAGAGAAGAAGGGCAGCTCCTAACCCTCACACTTTCTGTCCTATTCTGTCTGCATATTATTTGCATCCAATTGTCTGACCCTGTTGGGGATTCTGAGACAAACCCAGTTCTTTTCTACTTAATCCAATTAGAGTCCATGTCTCTTGCCCATCCATAGAAACTCTGAGTTACACATAATTTTAGCATTAGGCAAAAAAACCAACTTTTTTATTTTCACAGAAGGAGATCACAGATTGTCACTGTTCACACAGTGAGACCTGGGAACACGGTGTCTGGTAGGCAGAAAGTGGACCACACCATGCTGGTAGAGATAAAGTTTATTGGAAATATCACATGCTTATATACAGCATATAGGCATAGAAAGTCAATCTTCAGTCAGAAGGGCAGAAAGTTCATCATAAACAGTTTTACAGTAATGCAGACAATGAAAGTGAAACTTTGGTCAGTGAGCAGGAAGAGTTAAGCCTCAACAAATGCGAAGCAGTGCTATGGGATCAACGGTTATAAAGAATAAGCAAAGTGCAGGTGGGCTTCTTTAGGCAGAGGGAATATGGAGGCATTGTTTATGGGGTTACTCACAGGAGCATGAAGAGAACATTCTGCATGCCTTCACCTGACGCTTAGGGCTGGGTATCTGGACTTTTGCACAGACTTGGAAGGAGTTCTCTCCTTCCCCAGGGGTTGTGCACAACAGCATATGCACCCTCACAGCACCTAAGTCCTCAGATGGAGTCGTGCAAGCCAGTGCCTCTGACAACAGATATTATGTTAAAGATTGGAGTTATTATACAGATCCTAACAGTATTTCTCAAAGCTGTTCTGTCTCCAGCACTGTTCCTTCCTTGATCTCTAGCCTTACTTAAACTGCATACATTCTTACTCTGATCTGGAACCAGAGTTCATAATGGCAGGAATTGCAAACTTCTGCATCAGCTCTGCATTCTTCCTCTTTTCAGGTCACATTCTCCTAGCGGAGTGCTGTGGCCACTACCACAGGGCAGGGCCTCCATCTCCTCAGAAGCTCTTGGGTTTCAAGTATCAGAGAGAGGGGGGAGGGCAGAGAGAGAGAGAAAGTGAGAGAGAGAGAGAGACAAGAAGAAGAAGAAGAAGAGAGTTGAATGTAAAATAATACCAAATAAAGAAGCTTGACTCTGACTGGATGGCAAAAAAACCCTAGTACTCTGTGAAGCAGAAGAACTAGATACCTTCTCAGGAACAAGAGGAACCCACACTTGTGCCTGAAGAGCCAGACTCCATTTTAGGGTCCACAGCTGCATCTCCTGTGATCCTCAAAAGCAAGAAGGATGAAAAAATTACTTGAAGTGTTCTTGATAACTCTGTGGCTTCATGTGGCCAGTAAGTTGTGACTGCTAGTATGAGAACAGGGACTGCTAGTATGAATTTCAGAGGCCACATGGCTTAGAGTTGAATCTTCTTGTTGAATTTAGAATGTACTCTGGAAACACATTAACTGACTCCCTGGTCTCTGGCTTGTGTTTCTTTCTAGGGGTGAACAGCCAACAAGAAGAGAAAACTCAGACCTTGAGTATCCAACAGGGTGAAAATGCCACCGTGAACTGCAGTTACAAATCTGACATAATCACCCTGCAGTGGTACAGACAGGATTCTGGCAGAGGACCCACCATGCTAATTTTAATAAGGTCAAATGAGAGAGAAAGAAGCAGTGGACGGCTAAGAATCACCCTGGACACCTCTGCCAGAAGCAGTTCCCTGTCCATCTTGACTTCCCAGACTGCAGACACTGCAGCTTACTTCTGTGCCACAGATGCACAGTGTTCAGTGTGCACCTGCAGCCTGACTCTAACCTCAGCAGAGCTGCTACCTAGAGGTCCCAGCACTGGGAGAGCTGTGTTATGTATATGGGGGATAGTCTATGCGATCAGGAAAGTGGAATCCTCTCCCATTGATATTTTGGAAATACCTGACACTTTGTCAAGGGCTAGAATTTGGAGTGGTAAAATGAAATGTCAGGCTCAGATCTGGCCCTCCTGCCAGCTGATCTCAAGCTCATCTTCAATGCAGTGGCTTTTTAAGTCCTCACTTGTTGTGAAGGGCAAGGATTCTTAAGTACCAACTATTCTCTGTTTATGCTCAAGCTAATTAGGAAAGTGAAGCCCTGGGTACTCGGTGAGCATGAGCAAGGACTGCTCAAGACTGGAAGATGCCCTCTGTACTATGTATAGCCTCAGGGCCAAGGCAGGTCTGCGAGATGCTGAGGTCACTCTCACCTACCTGCAGTTGTGGGGATTGAGATAGATCTCAGGACACACACAGCCATGTCTTCACTTTACAATGAAGAGTGACAGTGTGTGAGAGGCAGAGAGCTGAATCTTGGAATAATAGAGCCCAAGATCTGACTCTGATCCTGAATGTATGTTTTCCAAGCCTCATATTTTTCATTAGGAAAATGGAAAAGTATAAGAAATTCATAATTTTCTCCTCTATGTATAAATGTTATCTTCTTAATTACTAGGTCTTACTTAAAATTAACATATTGAATTGAAATCCCTTTATACTGACAGTAAAAAAATCCCTTTATACTGAAAGTTAAAAAATAAAGATAATAAAAGAATTTTAAAACAAATTCATAAAAATAAACTTCAGAAAAAAAATTAAATGCTCTGTTTTGAAAGCAGGTTCTTCAAAGTTCAAACTATCCATTTTTATCCTTTCATCTTGGTACTATATGGTGCATGTACACTGATTATAGTTTTGTTCACAATTTTGACACCACTGAAAGTATGTGTGGAGAAAGTTGGGGCCTTTGAATTTGTGTTCATGTTGGTGAGGAGTGAGCAGGAGGGTAGGGGAAGTGATGTTCAGGGCAGAGTTCTGAACAATAGCCATGCCCTGCCCCACCAGTCTTTCCTGTGTCAGAGGTGCCCAGAGCCCCAGGGAAGGTCTGGGATATTCAACTCCATGCTGACTTACTCCTTTATTTCAGCTCATTTGCTAGCATATAATTTCTATACCTGTTTTTGATTGTCATGATTTTCTGTGTTCCTAATGTATTTTGATGATTAACTCTGACAGGCAAATGGTTAGCAAGACTTTTCTCCTATTCTATAGCTTTCCTCTTCATTAAAATTTTTCTACAGAAGCTGTTTTATGTTTTCTTGTAAAATTAGTGTACAGAGGTTTACAATTACATGAGTAAGGTAATGAGTACATTGTTACCTCCTCCTTTGTATTTCCCCTACCATCCCTTCCCTCCCTACCTCCTCTACTCCCCCCCCTCAAAGTTGTAAAGTTTGCTTTCAACATACTGACTTGTACATCTCATTGTTACAATGAGTCAACCTGTATCCTTGTTTCAGCATTTTGTGATTTCCCTTCCCCTCCCCAAATTAGAAAAATGTATATACAAGATGCAGGAAAGAACATACAAATTAAACAAAAAAAATCACATAGTACATTTTAGATGCATTAAAAACAATAGCAAGAAAGAAAAAACAAGTTGTGTCCTATCTTGGTGTTCATTTCACTTAACATCATCTTATATGGTCATATGTACATAGCCTCTGACCTTTTCTGCTTATCCTAGACATATACTAGATATTGTAAATAAGGACTTTCTTTGAGCTTTTCTTAATTCACTTAATATTTCCAAGTATTTCCATTTCCCAACTAATGGGGTGATGTCATTCTTTCTGAAGGAAGCATAGAATTCCATTACCATACATACATACACACACATACACACACACACACAAACACACACACACACACACACACACACAACACATCACATTTTTCTTTATCCATTCATCTACTAAGGGGCATCTGTGTTGGTTCCATATCTTAGCTATGGTAAATAATGCTGCAATAAACACAGTTGTGCTGGTAGCTTTAGTATACCCTTGTTTGTGATTGTTTGGGTAAATGTCCTAAAGTGGGATTGTTGGGTCACAGGGGAGCTCTATGTAGAGTCTTGTGGAACCTCCATACTGCTTTCCAAAGTGGTTGAATAAGTCTACACTACCACCAACAATTCAGTAGGGTTCCTTTTTTGGTCATTTCCCCTCCAGCATCTGTTATTAGATTTCTTTTTTTATTGTGAAAATACTGTACAGAGGGGTTACAATTACATGGGCAAGATAATAAGTACATTTCTTTTTTTCTCTCGTTTTTTTTCTTTTTCTTTTATTTTTTGTGAACATACTGTACAGAGGAGTTACAATTACATGGGCAGGATAATGCATACATTTCTTATCAAACATTGCAGCCTCCTCCTTTGTTTACCCTTCACATCCCTTCCCAGCCCCTCCAACCCCCCACCCAATCATTTCTTATCAAGCATTGTAGCCTCCTCCTTTGTTTCTCCTTCCCATACCTTCCCATCCTCCCCATCCCCACCAAAGTTGTAAAGTTTCTTTTCGACATAACGACTTGTACATCTCATTGTTGCAATGGGTCCACCTGTATCCCTAGTTAAACGATTTGATTTTTCCCTTCCCCTCTACAAATTATACTGACATCAAATACAGTGAAAGCAGGAGTTATATGTGGGGGAGGGACATACAAAGCAACAAAGAAATAATCTTATAAATGTATTAGAAACAATCACATGAAAGAAAAAACATTTGAATACATATCTTAGGGCTCATTTCCCTAACATGAACTTACCTGACCTTTCCTGCTTCACTCAGACATATACTAGTTATTGCAAATAACGAAAACCACGGGACCTGTGTTTCTTTGGGCTTGGCTTACTTCACTTAATATAATTTTTTCCAAGTCTTTCCATTTCCTAACAAATGGGGCAATGTCATTCTTTCTGATAGAGGCATAGAATTCCATTGAGTATATAAACTACAATTTCTTGATCCATTCATCTACTGAGGGACATCTGGGTTGGTTACATATTTTAGCTATGGTAAATAATGCTCCAATAAACATAGTCGTGCTGGTAGCTTTAGTGTGGTCTTGTTTGTGAACATTTGGGTAAATGCCCAAAAGTGGGATTGCTGGGTCATAGGGGAGCTCTATGTGGAGTCTTTTGAGGAACCTCCATACTGCTTTCCAAAGTGGTTGAACAAGTTTACACTCCCACCAACAATGCAGTAAGTTTCCCTTCTGTCCACATCCCCTCCAGCATCTGTTGTTAGTAGAGTTCTTGGGTATAGCCATTCTAACTGGGGTGAGGTGGTATCTCAATGTTGTTTTGATTGGCATTACTTTTATGGCTAGGGAGGTTGAGCATTTCTTCATGTGTATATTGGCCATTCTTATTTTCTCTTCAGAGAAGTTTCTCTACGTTTTTAGCCTCTTTATTTATCAGGCATTTGTTTCTTTGAGGATTTGTTGATGGGGATTTAGTTTTTTGAGTTCTAAGTATATTTTAGATGTGAGACCCTTGTCCATTGTATGGTTACTAAAGATCTTCTCCCAATTCGTGGGTTTTCTATTGATCTTGCTTGCTATGTCCTTTGCCATGCAGAAGCTCTGCAATTTCATGCAATCCCATTTGTCCAAACTTTCTTTCATATGTTGTGTTTGTGGGTCTCTATTAAGAAAATTACTGAAGAGGCTGTCTTTCTTCCATTCTATTTGTTTACCTCCCTTATTGAAGATTAGGTGGCTATAGGTCTGTGGGTTCATTTCTGGGTCTTCAGTTCTATTCCATTGGTCCTCAGGTCTGTTCATGTGCCAGTACCATGCTGTTTTGATTATTTTGGCTTTGTAGTAGAGTTTGAAATTTTGTATTGATATTCCTCCAGCACTGTTCTTTCTGCTAAGGATTGTTTTTGCTATTCAGGGTCTTTTATTGTTCCATATGAATTTTGGGGCGGCTTCTATTTCCTTGAAGAATGGGGTTAGGATATTGATAGATATTGCATTGAATTTGTAGATAGCCTTTGGCAGTATTGCCATTTTCACAGTGTTAATCCTCCCAATACAGGAACATGGGAGGCTTTTCCACTTAATTTCCTTTTTCAGGTTTTTAAAGTTTTCATCATAGAGGTCCTTCACTACTTTAGTTAACTCCTAGATCATTTATTTTTTGTGGAGCTATTACAAAAGGTGTTGCTTTCCTGATTTCAGCCACACTCTTTTCATTGTTGGCATACAGAAAAGCCATTAATTTTTGAGCATTAATTTTATACCTTGCTACTTTCCCAAAGTTTTGAATCAGCTTTAGTAACTTGGGAGTTGAGCCCATGGGATTCTTTAAATACAAGATCATATCGTCTGCAAAGAGGGAGAGTTTTACTTCATTTTTCCCTATTTGGATTCCCTTTATGTTTGCATTTTGTCTTACTGCTGTAGCTAGGCATTCTAATACTCAATTGAAGAGAAGCAGGGAGAATGGACTTCCTTGTCTCATTCCTGAATTCAGAGGAAATGGCTTTAGTTTTTCACCATTAAGTATAATGCTGGCTGTAGGTTTGTCATACACAGCCTTTATTATATTGAAGAATGTTCTATGGCTCCCTAGTTTTTCCAGAGCCTTCATCATAAAAGAGTATTGGATCTTGTCAATGCCTTTTCTGCATCTATTGAGATAAGCATGTAGTTTCTATCCTTGCTCTTGCTGATGTGATTAATTATATTAATTCATATGCATATATTGAACCAGCTGTGCATCTCTAAAATGAATCCTATTTGATCGTGGTGTATAATTTTTTTGATGAGTTGTTGAAGTCGATTGGCCAAAATTTTGTTGAGAAGTTTTGCATCAATGTTCATCTATAGTTCTCTTTCTTTGATGAATCCCTGCCTGGTTTGGGGATGAGGGTTATAATGGCTTCTTAGAAAGAGTTTGGTAGTGAACTTTCACTTTCAATTTCATTGAAGATTTGGAAGAGTATTGGTGTGAGTTCTGCTTTGAAGGCCTTGTAGAATTCAGCTGTAAATCCATCTGGCCCTGGGCTTTTCTTGGGTGAGAGGTCTCTTATTGATGTTGCTATTTTTATGCTTGACATGGATATGTTAAATTGGTTTAAATCATCTTGGTTTAGTTTTGGCATGTCGATATTTGCTAGAAAATCATCCATTTCTTTCAGATTCTCAAACTTATTAGGATAAAGCTTTGAGAAGTATTCCCTTATAATGTTCTGCATCTTATTCCCCCCACCCCCACCCTGTGGTGATAGTTCCGTTCTCATCTCTGTTTGTTTATTTGTGTGTGTTCTCTCTTTTTTATATAAGATTTGGTAAGGGTCTGTCAATTTTGTTAATTTTTTTAAAAAAACAACTCTGTTTTGTTGATTCTTTCTATGGTTTTGTTTGGATTCTAATTCATTTCATTTTGATTTTAATTATTTGTTTCCATCTGTCGGATTGGGGTTTAGCTTGCTGCTCTTTTTCAAGGAGCTTCAGGTGTCCCATTAAATTACTGGTTTCAGATCTCTCCAACTTGTTGATATAGGA